TATGAAAGGTTTTTTCCTCCAGCTCCCAAAACTGCTTTTTAACTGAGCTATTATTAATTGGTTGATTTCTTCCTGGCTTCTCAGCAAAAGTGGGTTTTGATGAGAGATTTCATGTTTTTGATATTTTACTGTTAGTTTGGAGCAGAAATTAGTGGTCTTTAAATCCAAAGTGCCAAGACAAATTAGCATGGATTCTAGTGCAATTTAATTGATTATAAACTTGCATCAGTCAAAATTGCAAATTTTAAACAGGTGAATATATATTTTAGTCTCCCAGTAGCAAGACAATAGTTAAAGTTGTGTCAGAACTTTTTATTTTACAGATTCTGTACCTCTGTTTCACCTTTTTACAGAACCCTTTTTTGTAAACATGCCAGGGGGAATTTCCAAATTTCAGCCACTAATAATTATGTATGGCATCGTCTCCAGTGTATATTTGGTCTGAATGTTGTTTTCAGGAAATTTGGGGAAACTGGAACACCAGAAAACCCTGATTTTGCCTCTCTCCGCCCCCCTGCCCCCACACACACACACAATGCACAATTACTGTCCTCTGCCACTTCCTGAGCAGCAATACTGAGACATCACAGATTGTCAGTCACTCACACACTCCAGTTCACTGGCATTCTGAGAAGTATCACTAGGGCCAGGGTTGTCATGGCAACAGCTAACTGTGATAACTGATTTACATCAGACTACACGAACATTCTTACAAAGAAAGGTCACAGGAGAACTGTCATGAAAGCATATTGTGTTTTCAGAACCTCACACTGTATTCCTTTAGTTTGTACTGTAGTAAGTTACGTGATTTCTTTTAAAAGGGTAATTGTTTGCTACCTTCCTCAAAAAGGGTTACATGAAAATAAGATATAAAATTACACCTCCTTTTCATATATGTTGTTTATATGCTTCTTACAAACTGGGGGAAATTATAAAAATGAGTCCCTTTCAGTCTTGTTACATAATTTAAAAGAAATATTATTTAGAAGTTGAAGTAAAACTGAAGTTGCAGTAAAAAACATTTTGTTTATGAATATAGTTTACTTTCAAAACATTGGTCAACGTGACACAGTGGTAAAATAAGGATCATCACAAAGACAATGACGATAAAACATACATTGAAGACAAAAAATTTGCAAGTGCCTTAAAAGTACATCTATAAAATATTTTCAATTTAAAAACTAAGAACATTCACAAATAAATTTTAACATTAATTAAGTTTGCTTTTATTAATAAACTAAGCCATAAAATCAGGAAATAATTAAAAGGTTACAAGAAACACTTGTTAAGAAATGCCAGAATGAATGTTGCCCATGCAACTTTAATTCAGCCCCCTTGTAAGTATGCATTATGATAGTGTATTTAAAGATTATTATTATTTTTTTTTTTTTTTTTAAATACACACAAGACCCCTGGTTCATTCAGCGTACTGGATGGATCTACTCTGAGGATCAATCGGAGCTTTGGAGTGAAGGAGTATGTTGTTTGTAGGACCCCTGCCTCTTTTGCTGCAGAAGCTGGAAGGTTTGTAGTGAATGAGGCAGGAGACTGCAGAAAGAGAAAGGACAGCCTCATGATTAGGGCATTTAAATGCTGCTCTGGAGACTTGGATTCTATCCCTGCTTATGCTATCGAGTTCTTACGTGATGCTGGACAAACCACTTACACCAAACTTTTCGTAGATAGTCACTTCTGTGTGTAATTAAAAACTATATCAGAATGCATACACACAAGGTGGGAAATTAAGGTTGCATGGGCAATGTTCATTCTGGCATTTCCTAACTTCAGAGTGCTCATCTTTGCATCCTTTTAATCCTTAACTTTGTATTTCCTAATTTATGATTAAGGTAGCTCTCAGCAATAAACTAAATTAAGTATTTTGTTTGTGAGACAAGGTGGATGAGGTAATATCTTTTATTGGACCAATTTCTGTTGGTGAAAGAGACAAGCCTTCAAGCAGGCCTGCACAACATGCGGCCCAGGGGCCGCATGCGGCCCGCGTGGGCTCACTGTGCGGCCCGCGGGGGGTGAGTAGGCAAGCTGGAGGGGTGCGGGGCTGAGGAGACGAGCGGGCGGGCAGTGGCGGGGGGGCAGGTGAGCCGGTGGTGGGGGAGGGGGGCTGAGTGGGTGAGCCAGGGCGGTGGGGGGCTGAGGAGGCGAGCAGCGAGTCGGTGGCTGACCTGTTCTACTGACCTGGTCTGGCTCCCATCCCCTCTCCAAGGGTTGCAGCTCTCTGGAGGTGCTGCCTTCCACGCCTTCTTCATTCATACCTCATTCATTCAACAGGGAAATTGATTACAAAGTGGGGGGAAGATCTTATTTTACTTCTAGCAAAAAGACATTTTTCTTTTACCTTGATTATACTACCTTAGGGGCCAGCTATAACATATTACCAAGGTTCAATACTGTTGTTTCAGCAGGGTGACACTGGGGAAGGAGGGTTTTTTTCCACGGGGCAGGCAGCGCTGGGGGGGGGGGGTTGTTTTGGGGGGGCTGGGCGGTGCTGGGGGGGTGTTTCG